CGAAAAGAAAAAAAAAAAAAAAAAAAAAGGATCAAAACTGCACGCTCCGATGGACACGACGGTGACTGAAATCATACGCTCTCAACAAGTCACCACCAAACGTACCGCGTCACTGCCCCAAATTTTCAACTTGAAATCACAATTCCCAATTCCCAATTCATTTTCCGGTTCACAAACAGTCCCTTCCTCTTTCTCCCGCCAAACCCTCTTCTCTTTGGTCCTACCATCACAGAGCCTCTGTCGCTGTTCCACAGGCCCCCACCACTTCACGAGAAAGCTCACACATCATACAATTAAAGGCAGAGAGAGAGAGAAATTGAGTTTTGAGTTTTGAACATTCTTCATTACCCACCCTCCCTTCGTGTACGACCATTAGTAACAGCTGCAAAAACAGACACGGATTCAGAAATAAAGGAAAGGAAGATAAAAAATTGCAGTGTTTGTGTGTTAGTATGTGTGTGTTTGTGGTCCATTGCTTGTATCCCCTTCTTTTCTCTTTAAACTCCCTCCCCTTTTTTCTTCTATAATTCTTCCACCACTCCTCAAAGCGCTTTTGGAATCTTCTCTTCTCTTCTCCATCACTCCCACCAGCTGGTTTTTGTGGGTTTCTGATGGATGTTGGTAAAATTGAAACAACCCATCAGCAGAAACAGAGGGTGGTGATGGAGAAGGGGAGAGTGAAGGAGGCTATGGTGGTGGTGGATGAAGACGGGGAATATGATGAGGACAAGAAGAGGAAGGGTGTGATCGTCAGTGTTGGCGGTGGTGGCTCCGGGAAGAAGGCGGCGGGCGGCGGCGGAGGGATGCGGTGTTGTCAAGCTGAGAAGTGTACGGCTGACCTGAGTGAAGCCAAACCGTACCATAGGAGGCACAAGGTCTGTGAGGTTCATGCCAAATCTCAGGTTGTGCTTGTGGGTGGGTTCAGGCAGAGATTTTGTCAGCAATGTAGCAGGTTCAACAACTTTGGAATTTCACTTTTCATCTACTTTGATATCTTCTCTTGTCAGTTGTGTGTGATTTGACATGAATTCTTTACACATCAGCTATCTCTGTCGTTGTTTCAGGTCTTCATAAACTCAAATTTCATGTTGATTTTCAATTATAGGCCTTTTTCTTCTTTTCTTCTTTATTTTGGGCTGTTGATTCATCAAACCAAACACATAATTCCATCCTAGATTTCACATAATAAACCATTAGGAAGATGTCCAAATACCTGAAATTTCTGCAGTAAGACCAGCTCAAACATCTTGACATTGAATTGTGGTTGTAGATTCCACGAGCTGTCCGAATTTGACGAAATGAAAAGGAGTTGCCGGAGGCGTCTGGCCGGTCACAACGAGCGTCGAAGGAAGATCTCGGCCGAGTCCAATGCTGAATGCTCCATCCGCAAAGGGACTGGTGGAGCACAGATGAAGGATAGTAGTGTCTGTGGACAGGCTGATGATCAGGGGAGAATTCAAATGACCATTCAAGAAAACGCTGCATACAAGCACTTCCAAATCAGATAAGTTATGAACATAACTCAATCTGCTCAGTATGCTCTCTCTCTTCTGTCATTCAAGAACTGCTGTATTATGTCCCTCCCAAGCAGGCTCTGTTGATGCATCCTGATCTACATGAAAGAATTGCCTTGTTAGAGGATTAAGCCATTAATAATTAAACTCAAGATTAGCCAAACTTTGATCATTATCTGTCCTGTAATATGTAAAAGATCATCAATCTAGTTCAGATTGATCTGTTTCTTTCTGGTTCTATCATCAGCTGCTTAAAATTACCTGAAATAAAAAGTACCTGCGTCATGTGTCATGTGCTTGTCAGTTTTAAGAGTTACAGCCCACAATATCAGATTTCTGGTGCTGATGGTGTCACGTAGCTTTCTTCAATAATACTGGAGAGATATTTTGAATTAATTTTTCTAACTACAAAATCACGTGTTTCATCATATGACTAGATTTCGGCTAGCTGACAAACTTGCACTTGTAAGAAAAAAATATACATATAAAGACAATGGGCCCAGAAGAGTTTATAAAATTTCGTCCGCATTTTACTGAACAGTAGGATGCTTTGGGGGTCCCTGATATATATTTTTCGTTAGACAAGGGAAATGGAACTACTTGGAACATATTATCCCTAACCTCTAATCTCCCAAGTTAATTCTTTACATGGTGCTACACAAAAAGAATATAAAATTGGTACAAGTAGAATAAAACTGCTCCTTCATCTTCTACTGGGGGGGGGGGTTATAGTTCAAGAGTTCTTGAACATACATTGGTCGGTCATGGTTTCTTCCTTCACCGTAACTGAGCTGCGGGGCTGGACATTGCAACTTTCATCAAATTTTGCCTCTCCTTTCTTCTCTGGAGGACACGCAAGTTTGGCGACTTGGCCTTTGTTGTTTCCTTAACAGACCTATATTATTTTTACACGGTCAGATGATACCCAAAAAAAGATCAGTCAAAATAAGATGTGAAATAGTATCGAAGTTTGATTCTAATTGGCTTTGTTTTCTTACCTTTGGGGGTGAAATGGATGGTCGAATTTGGGCACTGGTCTAGCATGGTGAACCAAGGTTCTTCTCAGTTGTTTCAATGCTTTCTCTTCCTCCACCTGGAAATATTTTTGCATGTTTAGTATTTCTTGGTATTGCAACATGTTTAGTATCAGAACAGATTTGGCTATTGCAACAATGAAGAAATGCAAAAGACTATAAAAAGAATGACCAACCACTCTTGCTGCGTCGCTCTCTTCTCTGTATCTCTTGTACATCATCTCTTTCTCCTTGATCTGTGTCGAGGGTGTATTTCCAAATTAGCAAACAAGAACTATATCTGTGAAATATTAGAAGAAAAAAAAAATGTAACTTTTAAATATGCAGCACCTTTTGATCAAACTCTGCTCTATCCACCGCTCGATTATCAACATGAAGATTGAATTCTTGAACTTCTGTGAGGGGCTTCCGTGATTTCTCTGGCAGTGGAATTGGATCCCTGATAAATTAACGACAACACACTTATTTTTCCTCATTCTGGTTTTGAAATTTAGTATCTTCACCGTATGTATAAGAGATATGCTTTTGTAAGTGAACTTACTCTTTTAGAACCGGCAGAGCCTTGAAATTCCTCATTCTGGCCTCTTCTTCCTCTATTCTGCGTCTTTCTTCCATTTCCTTCTGCATTTCTTCCTCGTGCCTCACAAGACTTTCCAATTGGAAAGGTTCAGGTTTGGTGCATTGCTTGGGCTCAGGTTTTGGTGGAATCTGCTCAAACACAACAGCTGTTCGTTAGCATGGTTCTATCTCCACATAGCGCGCATAATTTGTCAAGAAGTTTGTTGGTTATGCATACCACAGGGTAATCTGTAGTATAAGGATATGGGGTAGCCCTTGGAATGGCAGCTCTTTCCTCTTCCAATTGCCTGTGCACAAGTTCCATGAAGAATTTTCTTTCTTTCTCCGCCCCTCTTTCCTGATGCCATAAGGAGCAAAAGATGAAAAATTGAACTCCAATTCTGCTCTTGTTGCTTATAAAGATTGGATGGCCACTTACCTCTGTGTATAGATGAAAGGGGTTAGGCTTGGTGTTTCTTGGCAATGGATTATGGCTGCGAGCATCAGAACATATTGAGAGCTGCAGGGGGAAAATACCAGAAGATGATAACGTATTAGAAATTATTAATAATGCCATCATCACTAGAACTTTAAGAAATTAAACAGCTGCTACCTTGTCGAAAAGATCAGCAACAACACTTTGTGGTGGAGGATTTCTCTCATTTGTTGCAAAATGAAATTCTTGTGGTTTAGTTGCATGTTTTTTCATGTTACAGAACATACCCAACTCTCCCTTACTTTCAAATATCTGCAGCAGATCAGAAATGAAGACAAATTAAATCCAATTAAACATCAGAATAGACTGTTGTTTTGATGTAGCCAAGTACACACCTTTTTATCCAATGGCCTTGCTTTAAACTTGGGAATTTTCTCCAGTGCCTCCTGCTCAATTTCAAGGAAACTCTTCGCCCGTGGTGGACGAGCCCTTAGTGACGTGTGCAGAACAGGGGTCTTAGGTTCGGTAAGAAAAGGCTTCCATTGATTATTCTGAAAAGCAAATATCCACCCCAAATTTAGCTGATTGAAAAAGGCGTGGGAGGGAAATATACTAATAATGGACTTCTTTCTTAAACCTGACGGGACGATTCTGTAGATATTACTGAAGCTGAATCTGAATGATGGTTCGCTCTTGCCATTGTCTCAAGGTGAAATTCCTGCAACAATCATGTAATCGGTTAGTCAGTCAAACGAAGTGAAACTCTAAAATTCGTGGTCACTTTTCCATTTAATGCTCTCTCACCTGGAATTCAGGAGGCTGGGGTGTGCTCCTCGGTACTACAGGTAATTTGGGAGCTTCCATGATCTATATAGCATAACACAAGGAACAGGTAAGTTATACTCAGTGTGCCTAGCGTTAATCAACTTAGTAAAAAGACGAGAAGAAACATGAAAGTGTGTCAAATTCCCAAAATTTACCTTTTTGTTGAGTGGTCTAGCTTTGAACTTAGGCATTTTGGCCATCATCTCCTCCTCTATCTCAGCTGAGCTCTTCACCTTGGTTGAGCGAACTCTTTGAGCTGTTTCAAATTCAGGAACCTTTGGCCTAGTCAAAGTCAGTTTCGACTTTGACTGTGTAAAGCTACCAGCATCCTGTAATGACAAGAGATAAATTATAATGGAAAAAATTCGGATCAGATGAGACGTGGGGGAGGAGAGGATAGGATTTAAGTCATTTACCTGAGAATGAGATTTATTGACATTAGGCAATGATAAATCTCTGGTACTTGACTGGAACTTCCTCATCATTTCAGCCATTGAAACAAATGGTGCTGGTTCTCGAACATACATTTTCCTTTCTTCTTTGTTAGTTTTGTCAGCAACTGAAGAACACAAGTTCGAGGATCCAACTTTTGACTTGTGAAGTAAAGTATGGGGTTTGACATTGAGAATCTGAAACAAAGAGGGTTTACTAAAAACCATATACACACACAATTTACAGCACGGGGAGGAAATGTACATAAAGACAGTCACCTGTCTAGATAGACCACCATCCAACTTTTGCCGCTTAATTGCCTGATTTTCTTGAGCTAAAGACGGAGTTCCACTTGTCTTTTTCATGTTAGTTTCCCTGTAGAATCGGTTTGTCAGCACACCTTCTTCCATCAAGTCTAATATCAGAAGGATGAAGAACAGAAAAATCTACCTCTTGACACTAATTGGTTTAACGTTTTTGGTTTGTGATAACTGCAACTGACTTCTGGCTTTCAGAGCCGATGGATTCTTTACCATACTGGCAATTTTTCTTGATGTCTCCTGCCTCTTGGAAGTGGCGCCTTTCGTTCGTTGTTCACCCTTGTGAGTATTCAGAGTTGGCAGGGGAGTACAAGCATCATTTTGGACTTGAGATTCTAAAACACTCCGCTTCTGTTCATGATCTTTACGTTGGATTCCACCATTTGAAGAATTTCCTCTACAGGAAGCAGAAAGTTAGCCAAAAACAAAGAGCAGAAAATGAAAACCCCCCCTCCAGTTATGATAAAGTTTAGAGAAACCAATTGAACAATAGACGAACCTTCCATCTTCACAAGTACGAGTAATCTCTACTTTATCTTTTTCAGTAGCTTCATTTTGGGTAGATGCCTGAAAAGGATATCATGATCAGAACCAAATAGCAAGTAACAACTTGTTCAATGATTCAACTACCATGACACGGCTTTCAATCAAACCTTTTCTCCACTGGGCTCGCTAGGTTTAAACTCCTTGTTAGTTTCACTTGGCACGATTACAGTTTGAGATGTAGTTGGTTCAACGGTATCAACAGAATTTGAACTGTATAACTCAGAATCCTGTGTAAAGATATGGATCAGCCTTAGAAAGAAGTTCGCATGCGATGAGTGAAAGATACAGAATGAAAGAAATCGCTACCTTCTGCATTTCTTCCGTTTGGTTGAAATCGCACAAGTTCTCAACCTTAATCGATCTAGCAGTCTTGATTTTTGGCATACAAGCTGCAAAAAATGGATCAGAATTCAATTATACATCAACATAAACTAATTGAACATCCAGTTTAATTGACAAAACCCTAAAAGAGTGACTCGGTTTGCGAAGTGTTGTGATCGTTGCTCCAAATTTCACCTCGACTTTCTTTTACACTAATTCAAACCAAAAGATCCGCATATTCTCATTTCTTTAGGATTCAAATGTAGCTCTACTATACTTGCAAAAGAAAGGTTATATTTCCTAAAGTTTCTTTCGAAATCAAGAACGTCTTGAGAAACTTTCACTCCCAAACGGAAGTACTGACCCAACAAAGAGGGAAGAAGAATCGAGTATCGCATAGAAATAGACGAAATCCACGGTCAATTTCGTGGCCAAGATTACTTCAAACCCTAACCTCCATCAATTACAAACAAAACTCGGTCAAATCTCATCATAACCAAACACAACTCTAGTCTAGTCCCACACTACTCAGCAACCGCCAAAAACCTAGAAACTTTTCGGAAAAAGAAACTTAAACTCCCGCAGATCTCATCAATTGTTCGATTCCACTTCAAGAAACCAAAATAATCGTCGAAATGGAAAATCAGAAGGATTAGGTTAGAAGTGAGAGAAAAGAACATACGCGAAGGAGCATAGGTGAGAGCAGTGTCGAACCAGAGTTCAGCTGCGCACTTATCCTCCTCAGACTCGCCATTGATGAAATCAAAGAAGCGAGGTGCAGAGAACTCGTAGGTTTCGTCGATCATAATCGACAGATCGCTATTCGAATCATCAACCGGAGCCATCGATTATTTCCAATTTCCTTCCAGAACAGAGATAAATTAGGAGTTTAACCGAAAATCTGGAAGAAAAATATCGAATTCTCGTGTCTGGAGGAGAAAGAGAAGGAGGAGAAATTATTGTCGTAGAAGAGCACAAGTGAAAGTGATAAATGAGGAGAAGAGAGAAGTGTATACGTTCCTTCGCATCTCTAACGGCTGGAAATTTAAAATACTGGGAATTGTCCAACGGCCATATTAGGGAGCTCTCAGGTAACATATCGGTGTCTCTAACGGCTATATTTCACTCCTCAGTGCACCCTGCACCTATACGACGTCGTCCTTTCATAAGCGGACCGCATCCGGAAAAAGTTCCAGACAAGATATCAAACGACGACGTTTCACCTCGAAGGAATCTTTTTCAAATTGGACTTAGGCGGCCCAACAAAATGGACTACAAGCCCGTAAAACACTGCAAGGCCCATAAAATATGCCCTCAATTTATAATTTTTATAAATTGAATTTAAAAGAAAACTCCTCTTTTCTCGGAAATTCCAAAATTAATCTCAACCATTAATTTGGTTAAATGTAATAATATTTATCTTGTATTGCGCTAATTCCAATAATTTTTTTTTATTTCCATTAATTTTACTATATACATTTTATTTTTATTTTTCTAAATTCATCCACTCATTTTAACTAAAAATAAAATAAAATAAAATCTTTAGTTCGGTCTGTCAGTCACGACAGGGATGGATTTTAGAACAAAAATAACAATAATTGTAATAATTGAACGGAAAATAATAGATAATAATAATAATAATAAAAGTTCGTGGGGATTTCACCCGAAAAGTTGAATATAAAATTTCCATCTTTTTCTTTAGCAGACAAGGACGGCTAATAAATCATCCACCCACTTCACTCCTCCTGACTTTTAATATAATTAATATTTCACTAAATAAATTCATTTCAAATTTTAGCATTTTAATACTTTAAATTTTATTATATTTTTAAATATTTAAATTTATTTTTTAATAGACACTAATTTTATTATTCATTAGAAGTATAAAAATTAAAAAAAAAACAAAAAAAAAAAGATCGTTTTTATTATTTTTATTATTATCTATTATTTTCCATAAATATTTGGCAGATAAATAGAATAAGGAAGGATGGGCCTCGTTATTGCAATAAATATTTGGCAGATATTTCTGGTGTTCAAATTTGACCCTAACGTCCACATAATTTAATGCCATAAAATTGCATTAATTTTTATTATTTTTTCGGTAAAATAGACCTTTTCGTCTTTACATTTGAAAGTTACTTTTATTTTATCCAAATATATTTAGATTTAGATTCTATTTATATATTGAAAAGTTATTTATAAATAGTAAAAAATTATTTAATTTCTTTTAGAGAATAAATAATAACAAAATTATAAAATTAAGTAAACATATGTATAAATAATTGTACCGGAAGCAAAAATATATTTTTTTAAATTAACAAAAAAAAATATATATTGATTAAGTTCAATTTAATTTAATTTTAAGAGAACTCGAACCCGATCATAAAGATTTTATTATTTGGTAATGTGAAAAATATTTTTTTTTTGTGCTTTTATGATCAATAATTAAATAGTAAAAAGACAAGATTTTTTAAAAAAAAATTAAAAGGATAAGTAAAGTTGAAAAGTAGGTTAGAAATTGTTGGTCGACATGCAGAAATTTTAAAGATGGGTCCAAAATGGATGATCCATCAACCTTCAATCGGATCATATAGTCATATTTAATAATTAATAATTTATAAACCAACCAACTTTGAAATAAAATTTTTAGCTTTTGTTTACATTAATAATTTATTTTCGTCGTTTTGCTTCACTCTATTTATTATTTTTTTTTTTTCAAAAAGCCAGGTGGCTCCTTTTGGTAGACCACGTCAAACGTAAATGACACGTGGGCCTCGTATCGCCTACCAATTTTGTCTTCCCATTTATTAGTTTATTTGATTTAATTCATAAACTAGTGTCGTTTATTTCATGTGAATTTTAGATTTTTTATTCTCAAATTTAAATTAGTTTTCCTACGGATTAATTGATAAATATGTCCTTCAATAAAATACGACAACAATTGTACACCAAAGAGATACTAATTACATTGACCAAACTAGATCGAACGGAGAAAGTATGAGCTAAGGGATATGCATGGCTCATACCGCCTTAGGAGAGGCCAATCTTAACTTCAATTAGAGACGTCCATTTGAAGCACTAAATATACGAGTAGAGAAGATTCTTCCGGTTAGCTAAGTGGCTATCTCGACCATGCCTGTCCTCGTAGACATCTCTATCTTCGACCTTGTCGGTTCTATGGTTGAAAATTCTCGTACCAAAGCAATTTCTTGATACATTTATTCATTTGAATCCATTATTCCAAAATTGAAATTCATAACCCACAAGCTACTAGAACACATAGCTTCCCTTTTAAAAAAAGAAGCACTTTCCCCCTTTCTTATTCGTCTACCTTCATCGAACCTTTATTCCTTCCTTTACACACATATATGCGCATAATCACGGAGAAAATTCCGTTTAGATTGAAAATGTGAGAAAGAGTAAAAAGAGATTTCTTTCCATTAGCTAAACATAGCCGAATATTGACCCTAAGATTCAATCCATACTGTTGCATTATTGGACTAAATGAGACTCCACCCTTCCTACGAGTTCCCCCCACCGACCCAACGACACACCAGTCATATAGTGACGACTAATAAGCTAATTTGAGTATACTAAGACGAAGGGAGCAAAGGTGTGAGACTAACCTACCTATTCTCCTAATGCAACAAGCGGAGGCATGCATTCAAGGAGGCGAGCGCAGCAACTACATGGACCCCTTCCTTTTTGTTGTTGCCAACACTTTTCGGGATCGAACCCAGAATTCTTTATGAAAAAGGACCCTTATCACGTATGCTTCTATATAAATATAAACCCATATCAAAACTAAGTTAAGAAACAAAGTTAACATATAAGGAAGGGTATCCGGTTGGGATGATTTTGGTAGAGATTTATTGGCCTAAAATTAAGGGATGATAAGATGGGTTTTCAGGTAAGAACAAAGAAGAAGTAAGAACAAAGAAGAAGTAAGAACAAAGAAGAAGTAAGAACACGAGGGTGAAAGAGAAATACCGTCGGCAAGTACGCGGTTTGTTTGGTCTAAATTCTCGAGAGTTGAGAAAGTAAGAACGTAATAAAAATAATGGTGAATCCACCAGCTCATCACATGTTCTTAAAGTCAATACCTTTATATTTATAGCCCACCAATCTTCACCTCTCTCCTCTACTCAAAACAATTCTCCACAAAAAACAACAATCACAAACCCCAATGACCACCGGAAGAGAAATTCTCCACAAAATGAAGGTCACCTACAAAATCTCCCTAATTTTTGGAACCAAATCCTTAATCCCCTCGAAAATCTCATCTCATCTCATATGGGTTTTGGTTCAAATTTCAGGTGAAGGCAGGGTTTTGTTCTTCGGCGCCGGATACTGCTGCCAAAGGGAAGGCCAAAGCGACCAAGAATCATGTAAGCCATGGCAGCCATTTGGTTAAGGGCAAGACCAACCACCCCATGGAAGATTACTTGGTCACTGATTTCAAGCGCGTCAAGGACCACGACTTGGGTTTGTTTGCCATTTTCGACGGCCATTTGGGCCATGATGTTGCCAATTTCTTGCAGAATAATCTCTTTGATAATATCCTCAAACAGGTACCCAAAATGTCCTTTTTTGTGTCGTTTTTATGAGCTCTGCTCTGTTTTTTTTGTTCATTTGCTCTGTTTTTTTTTTTTATTATTTGCTCTGTTTTTTGGTAGGCTGATTTCTGGAGCGAAACGAGAAAGGCCATAAAAAGAGCGTACAAGAAAACCGACGATGAAATATTGGATAAAGTAAAGCAGCTGGGGAGAGGAGGATCAACGGCGGTAACCGCCATATTGATCGACGGCCACAAACTCATCGTTGCCAACGTCGGAGATTCCAGAGCCGTTCTTTGCAAAAACGGCGTCGCTGAGCAGCTCTCCGTTGACCACGAACCCAGTAAAGAAAAAAGGGATATTGAAAGCCGTGGAGGCTTCGTATCAAATCTTCCAGGTTTCATTTCTTAAAATTCCCTTTTTGCCCTTTCATTACGATTTTTTTATTTATTATTATTATAAATTATTAAAACTTACCCGAGTTGTAGAGAGAGTCAATTAAGTTGAGCTGTGGATGTTTGACTGTAATCAGGCGATGTGCCACGTGTCGACGGACAATTGGCTGTTGCGAGAGCATTTGGTGATAAGAGCTTGAAACTCCACCTCAGCTCAGAACCTGACGTGGAAGTCAAAACGGTGGATGAATCTACAGAGTTCATGATTTTGGCTAGCGATGGCATTTGGAAGGTCAGTCAATTTTTTTAATTGAAATTTCTAATTTTCTTTTTTAATTGAAAAATATATTTAAATTTAAAAAAAATAAATAATTACAGGTAATGACAAACAAAGAGGCGGTGGAATCTATTAGACACATAAAGGATGCGAACGTGGCAGCCAAACGACTTATCGATGAAGCAGTATCCAGAAAAAGCAAGGACGACATATCGTGCATTGTTGTTAGGTTTCGGTGATACGTATTATTTATATATATTTCTTTTAAAATTTTGTAAACATAGTGTTTATATATCAAGGTGTGGATAATATAAGCCAGTAAATTTGTTTTGCCACCTGGCTGCTGTCTGTGAGCTGTTGCGTAATGTTATCTATTTAGATAATTAAGAATAAATATCATTTTTCACGCGCAAAATATGGGCCGACATTCTTCAGGTTATGGGCTTGATTTTGGGTTGCATTAATGGGCCTGGATCAGTGTGGGCTTTAAGTGAAGCTTTGTGTAGATTGGCCCAACGGTTAGCCCATTTAATTGGTGGGGATTGGATCAACGGCCCATGAAGTACTCTCAACTAAATTTGAGAGAGAACACATTATATTCATGAGATTTAAAGGCAAATTGCTCATAAAAGTGTGAGACAACTAACCTACAAAACCAAAGTGAAATGTGTTTTATTAGAATATAAATAAATAATCTATGTAAAATAGAATGAATTAAAATAGAGTGAAATGTGTTTTCAGCTCAACCCAACGTATCGTGAGCTCAACTCTACCTTTGTGAGACCCCATGTTGGTTAGAGAGGGGAACGAAGCACTCCTTATAAGGGTGTAGAAGCCTCTCTCTATCAGACGCGTGTTAAAATCGTGAGGTTGATAATGATACATAACGGGCATATTTGGGCAGATATAAGGGTGTAGAAGCCTCTCCTTAGCCGATAACGATACATAATGGGTGTAGAAGTCTCGGAGAATATCTACTAGTGATGGATTTGGGCTGCTATAAGGGTGTAGAAGTCTCTCTCTAGTTGACGTGTTTTAAAATCCGAAACGTGACAGACAAAAGCGAACAATATCATAAACAAAAAAAAAATAATAATTAATTATATTTTAAAAAATATAGTGTGATGGAATGGTGCCAAATACCACGTACAAACACTACAAGGAAGAGTCCAAAACAACTTTGATCAGATGGGAAGCCGTAAATAGTTTGGACTAATTAAAATAAAATAAAATAAATAAAAAGAGTATATAATATAATAAGGAAAAAATAATATGAATAAAGGCGTATGGTAACGCCACATACCCGATTTTGCATGCTGACCCAAATGTTATGAAGCCACGCAATTTCTGCCCCATACCGCCTTTCTCTCTCCTCTATTTTGTATTCATTTTCTCTCTCCTCTGTTTCGGCCATTATATAAATCCCTTTTCTCTCATCTTCTTCTTCCTACACCGTTTTGGTTTGCCCTAATTTTACAGTGTTTCAATGAGTAGTGTTTGTGCTGAGAATCAGAAATATCAGTTTCATTTTCAATTTCCTCCTTCTTCTTCTACTTCTGATTTTGTTGTTTCTGAGAGGATTCCTTTTCTGAAGGATATTAACGTTCCGCCGAGGAAGCTTCTTGCGGCGCGACGAGATCAAAACGCTGAAATGTGTTCTGATTCGCCGCGATTCTCGTTTGCTGTTGAATCGCTTTTGCAGAAGTTTTTGCCGTTCAATGGCGAGGATGAGGCGGAGGAGGACGGCGATCCGTATTCGTCCGATCATTTTCGGATGTATGAGTTTAAGGTGAGGCGGTGTACTCGTAGTCGGAGTCATGATTGGACGGATTGTCCGTTTGCTCATCCTGGAGAGAAGGCTCGTCGGCGGGATCCTCGTCGGTTTCATTACTCCGGCACGATGTGTCCGGAGTTCCGGCGTGGTGGATGTGGCCGTGGTGATGGATGTGAGTTCGCTCATGGAGTTTTTGAGTGTTGGCTTCATCCGGCGAGGTATCGGACTGAGGCTTGTAAAGATGGAAAGAACTGTAAGAGGAAGGTCTGTTTCTTTGCTCATTCGCCTCGTGAGCTTCGTCTTTTGCCGCCGGTGAGTAACTTTCAAGGCGGTGGCTCTTGTTCTTCGCCGAATAAGAAGAGTTCTAATCTCAGATCGGCCGCTGGTTCTAATCACTGCTGCTTGTTTTGTCATTGCGGTGGAGCCGCCACCTCCTCGCCGACGTCGACTCTTTTCGGAATGTCTCATCTCTCTCCGCCGCACTCACCACCGCTCTCGCCGGGAAATCCTCGGTCGATGAATGGATTTTCGCCTATTTCAAGGTATAGTAATCCTGATCAGTCTAAGTTAAAGGGAGTTTTGAGCTATAAAGATGCACTGACCGAGCTCATGAGCTCTATTGAATCCATGAATATCGACGACGCTAATGCCACTTTAGCGGCCGCCATCCCCGCCCCTAGACCAACGCCTTGGATCGATGTTTCATCTCTTAATCCTGAAGATCAACTGCAGTTTATTCTCTCCCCTTCCACTCCAAACATCTCCGCCGCGGCGAACTTAACCTGCGAGCATAAATCTAACGCCGACAATGGATGGGCCTCCACCTCCGGTCCCGATCTCGGATGGGTTAATGATCTGCTGATGTAAACTACTAAGAAGAAGAAGAGAAGAAGAAACAATAAGACTTCTCGAGGAACTGTAAATATTACACCATCCGTATATATAGAGGTATTATATATATATGGTGAAGAGGTGTAAGAAAATGTCATTAATAATGATTGTGAATTATTGCTTTGCAAATTGTTGGCTGATCGTCCATTTAGAATTTACGTGTTTTGTTTGTTGTTTGTATTAGGAACTCATCAGAATCCTGAGATCTTCTGTTTGTTGTGTATTCTAATTCCTTTTTCTGAATGTATTTTACTGCAAGTTTCTTGACCATTTCTTCCATTCTATTTTTCTTATGTTTTGTTATATGTAAGATGTTTGAATAAATAGAGGCCAAAAGTAATTAAGCAACATTTGGGGGGGTGTGGTGTTAAACCGTTATAGAAAATCATGCTTTTGATATTTTTGGATTCTGTTGGGCCAAGCCGTCAACGCCACGTTCTCTGTTGTTGTAGTGCAGGGGGTAGGTTGGGGGTCCTACTTTCGTTTAGGAGAAAAATGGCCTAGAAGTCTTTTATGGAGTTAACCGTAGTTTTTTAAGTCCAAATTTTGGTGGCTATTTGCTCTCTCTCTCTCCCCCC